ACACAGACACACACACAGACACACAGACACACACACAGACACACACAGACACACATACACACACACAGACACACACACACACAGACACACACACAGACACACACACACACAGACACACACACACAGACACACACACAGACACACACACACAGACACACACACACAGACACACACACACACACACACACACACACACCTTCCTTCATTTCTGGAGAAATAGGTTTCCTAAATGTGTCAGATCATCTCCTGTACTTAAGTGTTCCTTGTCCCCAATGTCTGTCCTCCTTACCCATAGGGCACAGCAGCCTGGCTGTCTGCAGAAAGTGCAGAGACTTCACTTTGCCTGTTAGTAACCTAGTTTTTGCCAGGATCCCTGATCACTAAAGTCAGGAGGAAATTATTTTCCAGTTCTGTTTAAACATTGTCTATTCTTAGACTTAAAATGACTCCTGAAGGTCGCGCACAGGCTTTCTCAGACACTGCCATCTCCTGGCCCAGACTCCCTGGGTCCACTGGAATAAAATGGGAATTCACTACAATGTGTTGGTGCGTGCTTTCCTCCATAAGGACTTTGATAATATACTGGGAACGGCAAAGAGAGTGACCCAAATGCATATCTTAGGTGTCTGGGTGACTGGGATGAAAATGGCCAATAAGGTCTGAGACAGACTGGTTCCCATCCCCTGGCTCATTCCTGATGCTCTTCACCAGCTGCCTCCGATGAGGGTCCCCTTTTGATGCTTCTGACTTCTGGCTGTCACTCATCTTCTTCCCACAGATTCTCACACAATGGACCCTAACTCTTTCATTCAGGACCCACAAGCATCTCCATGGGACACTCACCACACACCCAGGCCATCACCTCTAAGCATGTAGCTTGCTCTTAGGCTGTCCCTCACATGTTGGTGTGCTGTCAGTCAACACACATAGAAGGAAGACTCTGAAAGCAGGCCTGTCTGCAGTGTTCCCATCAGTACCAAGAATTGAAGGATATGGATTCAGTTCCTCTTATCAATGGCCTTCTGTGTGTTCATTCCTGTCTCGTTCTTCAGGCATATTTGCTTCTCTGCCAACCAGCATTGGTCCAGAGAATGGTTTTCTGCCCCATCCAGTAGGGCATTAAACAGGGGTCCAGGGAGATCACCTGAAAGAGAGAATGATGGAATGGGTGAACGCAAACAAAGATGGCTTGTCTATAGTCTGATCAAACCGCACTTTTTACTTTTTCACACAGGGTTTATGTACACAAAAAGGCAGGATGTGGGGAAGGGGATGATGCAGGAGCGTAGGTGTTCAGGGGGAGTACAGATATCTTCCAGAACAGAGTGTCAGCTGGGTGAAGGTTCAGGGGACGGGTCACTATGACTCCGCCTATGATTCACTTGTCCTTATCTAAGTTGGTACTTTCCACCAAGGCTACCCAAGGTCTATGACTATCCACAAGACCTATGACTACTTGTTCTCATCCAGGCTGGTAAATTTCCACCAAAGCTGCCTGTTTACAATATCTTATAGCTATAGATTCAGTGTTTTTCCACAGAGACCCAATACTTTGTGTTAGTAGGGATATATGTCAGGCCTATTGCTGATTTTAGACCTTCAGTGTATAAGCAAGGCTGCCCCTGACAGTTTTCCATGCTGGAAACCTGAAGCCAGTATCTATCTGGGACACTTGGAGAATATCCCTGTGGCCACAAACTGTTAGCTGTGCTTCATTTTGGTCGTCTCAGGCCCACTAGACACTCCTGGGTATGGAACCAGAGTGACACGCTTGCTGTAAGGCCTTGCTCCTTAGTGTCCAGCACAGTTACTGGCACATGTCAGACTCCTCAGTGAATGTTAAGCAGAAAACCCGGTTGTGGGTGAGTTTAGGACAGGTGTCATCTGCTAATGTGAATTGTGCTGCTTGTTTTTTTTTTCTAGTTCACACAATTACCAGGAAGCCCATGTCTTGGCATGATAACTTGGAGGAGCCAGAAGATGGTAGGTGCTGGGCTTGAGAATACTTAAGATCAGATCACAGAGGGGCAGACAGGCTAGTGACACTTCTCAGGGTTCCCACCACCTTTGGGGCAAATATGGGGTTCTCTGAAACTGGATTTAACCAAGATCACAAGAGACTGACTTATTAAGCCACAATGCCATGTGATTAAGCATGAAGCCAACAATAATGTTTCCAACCCCCTAACCATCCATTCATCTATTCATCCACCCCCAACCTCCCATCCATCCAACTACCCATCCATCCATCCACCAACCTATCTATCCATCCACTCATCCATCTATCCATCTGTCTGTCCATCCATCCATCCACCCACTCATCCAACACCCTGAAATCACATTAGCTGGTTTCAAATTTCAATCCCACCACCCACTAAGCAATTGACTTTGGGCAGTGCTCTAGTTTCATTCTGTTGCTGTGTAAAACACTCTGACCAAAAACAATTTGGGGAGGAAAGGGCTTATTTCATCTTACATTTCCAGGTCTTGTTCCCCTGAGACAAATTAGGGAAGGGACTCGAACAGAAGCTTGAAGCAGAAGTCATGGAAAAGGCTGCTTGCTAGTTCAGTTTCTGGCTCACTTGTTGACAAGCTTTTGTTCAGCTAGCTTTCTTTTACAGCCCAGGACCACCTGTGTAGTGTTGGTACTGCCCACAGTGGGCTGAACCAACCTACATCAATTATCAATTAAGACAGCCCCCCATGGACATGCCTACCGGCCTACCTGATTCAGGCAGCTCTTCATTTTAGGTTGTCCTCTCAATGTTTCTAGGCTGTGTCAAATTGACACTTAACCTATGACAATTAATTCTAGGGTTTTTTTGTAAACCTTTCTGAAACAATTTTTAGGGTTGATATGAAGTCTAGGCAAAATAATGCAAGTACTTGGGATGGGGTGTGGTAGGTGGTAGTCAGTGAATGTTGGCTGTCCTTTTCATAATTACCATGTAAAAGACCATGGAATGTGACTAAGAGGAGGCCCTTGTTATAAAGGAGAGGGAAGTAGGCTTGGACATACCTGGAGAAGCCTTAGGTAATGGGATGAGTGAGCCAGTGTCAGAGACTGGTGCTTCTGTCAGGCAGTGGCATTCTGGGAAGAGTTCTCAGAGACTCCAGGTAGAGACAGAGCCCCCAGGGGAAGCCTGTGTAAGGACCTTTCAGAAGTTTGTGAAAAGCACAGAAAGTAGAGGCACCAGCATGGTCTGCAGACTGCACAGCGTGGCTCTTGTCCTTGCTGCCCGCAGTGGGCTTTCCATCTGCCTTGTCCCAGGGCTGCTCTCTGCTCAACATCCATGGTTTCTCTTCTCTCACTAGGTGTGTGACATTGTTGGTTACTAAGATGCTTTGTGACTTGGTTTCTTTGTATGAAATGGAGGCACTGTAGTACCTGCTCCTTCCTTTGAAGTATGGCTCGCTCCTCGGAAGGTTTATGTGTATGCCTAAATATTGTATCCTTTATTCTCCATCTAGATACTAAGCCATAGGAGAGCAGGGCTCATGTCTGCCTTGTCCAAGCTCTGCCCCCAAGACCTAGAAACCAGCTTGACAGAGTAATTGAAAGATGGACAGAAAACCAAATTCCCACATCTCGGGGGCCCTGGGCCAGCCTTGGGGGCCATTGTATTTTCTTTAGGGGAGCCCATGGCTAGGTCAATGACAAGGGGAACATATTTTGGTCCAAGGCTCTGACTTCTTTAAAATATTTTAAAAACTTTTTTTATCATATAACTGTGTTTCCTCCCTTCTTCTCCCCACTGTCTCCCGAATGTCCCCTCCTTGTTTTCCTCAAATCCTTAAGCTTTTTCTTTAATTGTTGCTGTACACACACACACACACACACACACTGCTCAGTCTGAATCATATTATTTGTATTATATGACTTCAGGGCTGCCCACTTGGTATTGAATAAGCAACTGGAGGGCTATTCCCTGGGCTTGACCATTTCTCCTGATCTCAGTATTCCTTCATTACCTGTAGTTTTTTGTCCAGCTTGGTTGAGGTCTCATGAGCTTCGCTTCCACTCTTCCATGTCAGCATGGGTATTAGAGCTGTTGTTTTTGAGGTCTTGGCAATCATGTTGGTGGGACTTCAGGGGTGTTGCTTCTCTGGCATTTCCAGGATACACAGTCTCACAGCAAGCTTCTTGGTCCTCTGGCTCTTATAAGCTTTCCACCACCCTTCTTCAGTGATTTCCGAGCCTTAGGTACAGGAATTGTGTTGTAGATGAATCAACTGGCAGTGAGTACAACATGCTCTTGTTCTCGGCAGCTTGAGCAGTTATGTTTTTCTGTAATGATCTCCCTCTGTTTCACAGAAGAGTTTCCTTGATGAGGGCTGAGAACTACATCTCTCTGTGGGCATAAAGCTAAATAGTTACAATGTAGCTAGGGTTTGTGCTGCTTTAGTAACCTGGTGGTTGAAGGAGCGCCTCCGCAACTCAAGACTACACTAGCCCAGGACAGCTGGCTTGTTTTCTAGTAGCAGGTCTGATTTGTTTCTGCTGAGCTGGCTTTAAGACCAATGGTAGGGCTGTTGGTTATCACCAAAGGTATGCATGCCACTCCTGCATTCCTTGGTTTATCATGGGTGGGTGGAGTTTCTGATTCCTTTTTAACTGTGCCTCATTTCCCAGCTAAGTTCCTGAACCTCATTCACCATGCTGCACAGGGGCCAAAAAAGAAATATTCAGAGACACAGACGGAAGCCCACGAAATCGGATGGGACTCAGAACCCTTGGTGAGCATGGTTCCTTCGCATAATGGGACCTGGGAACATAACAGCAGTGACAGTGGTGGCCAAGAGGACAGGTGGGGGAGGCAATTTCACCTGGATTTGAATTCTGGGTTACATTCCCTAGCTGTGTGACCTTAGGCAAGTCACTAAGTTGCTTTGTGACTCAGTTTCATAGATATGAGATGGAAAGCCTATAGAATCTATCTCATAGAGCTTTTGAGCACAGGAAAAGAAGGCAATATTTGTAAAGTACCTGGGACTGTGCCTGGTACATAGACACATTTCAATAAACCCAGGGTGGGCTACTGTAATGTGGATGGGGACAATCAGAAAAAGGGGCCCAGAGCACCACTGAGTCCCAAGTCAGGTGGTGACCCTGGTTTCTTGGCTTAATATCCATTTTCTTCATCCACTAAGAGACTTTCAAGCATCTCTCACTCCCAAGAGTCCTGTTTTTATGTGTCTTTCTCCTATACGAGGGGCAAGGCTTCTCACTCACTAAACAGCTCTGGTTCTAGCTGTTGGTGCTGCCACAGAGCCACCTCACAGGGATTTCAATAAAGGGTACTGTCTGGGAGAGAGAACCCTTCAGGAAATGGGAGAAATATGTCAGCACAGCTTGAGAACTTGCACAACAAAGGCTGAATTTAAATTGGAGAGAGGAGGACAGTTTGAGAGCTGGAGAAGCAAAGGCCACTCAGAGCAAAAAGGCAAGGGGTGGGAGAGCAAACTTATTGAATAAGGGAAGGGTACAAAAGAAGATATTATTAATGACGTCACCGAAAATGAATCAAAGAATCAGCTCTTGAGGGGATGTTTTTAAAAATGCAAGGAAGGCATTATTTGGGTGGGGAAATGTTGCTGTCGGTTCTAGCCCAAGACTGGGATTTGCAGTGGATAGAAACGAGCTGGACTGTGAAGACAGTGTAGATGAGTGAGAGCCTGAGACTAAGGACGAGACACGGGGTCAACAGATGGAGATTGCTGACAGGAAGCTGGGGATGAGGGGAACTCAGGCTAACCTATGCTGAAGGCAGGAAAGGTGATCATATTTCACATGTGGGAGGACGGAGACAGTGGGCCCTGCTGGAACACGCCACTGAAGGTACTGCCTCTTGTTAGCAGATTTAGCAAGATGTTGCCAGAACTGGACAGGACAGGGATGGATACGGGAGTTCAAAGAGGCATACCTAATTAGAAAGAACACAGGCCAGCATAAGCAGTTTGATCACTGAGACAATTGTCTCCAAGTCAGAAGAAAGGTTTGAAGGAAAAAAATTGTGATAAAGGTAGAAATTAGGTTAAGTAGATAACATATTAATAAAGAGAATTGTTACAAAACACAAATTATTTAACCTAGCATTCATCCTCCCCTACTCTTTGAATTTTAGAGAGAAGTTTATTGTAGATTCTTTGATGGTTACTTGAGAGAGAGATAGTCAGCCTATTTGCATAGTACCAGTAGCCCAGTGGTGTGAAGGGGAACTTTAAAGAAAGAGAGAAAAGGCCCAAAGTACCAGAGAAAGCAGGCTGAGGCTCTGGCCAGCATCCAAAAGATATAGGTGAAGAGAATGGGAAATTCATGCCTCTTTGAGTCAGAAGGCAGATCCCACAGAGGTTTCTGGCAGCTCTAAAGCATTTTACCCTCTTTTATTATTTTTAAAGACCAAAGATACAGATCCTTTGGGTTCAAAGTATCTAGTTGAAATGTGTCTTTGACCTCTTGGTAGGCTGGGCCAGCCAGGCATGCCCTGCTCAGACCCTTTTAGGCCTAGCAGATAAAATACCTGTTGCAAGATATCTGCAAATAGTCCTTTCTGTTCATCACCATGGCCTTGGGACAGTGCTATCAGATGGCATTGTTGATAAGGAAGTACACACTGCAAGATGGACTTCATCACCATGACAACACATGAGAAAACTTCACGGAGTAAGGACATATTTTGGCCCAAGGTCTCAAGAGGTTCAATCCATGGTGGCTTGTGTTCATTGATCCTGGGCCTGGGGTGAGGGAGAACACCATGGCAGAATGAGGCCTGATTCAGACTCAGTTCCACATCATGCAAACCTTGGCCTGCTCCCTCCCTGACAGATTTTTCTGATCCTCATGGCATCTAGGAAGTACAAGCAGTATTATAGCAAGGTACTACAGCAAGCTCTAGGCCCTAAGGACACACTCCAGTGACCGATTCCTTCAGTTAGGCCTCAGGTTACCACTTCTCAGTGGTTTACTCAAGGTTTTGTACCCATCAGTTGATTACTGCAGACAGAGCCCCATGCTCTCTCCCAATGGCTCATCTCTGACAAATGTTTGGATGGGTGTCTTAGTTAGGGTTTTACTGCTATGAACAGACACCATGACCAAGGCAACTTTTATAAGAACAACATTTAGTTGGGGCTGGCTTACAGGGTCAGAGCTTCAGTCCATTATCATCAAGGTTAGAGTGTGGGGAGCACCCAGGAAGGCATGATGCAGGAGGAACTGAGAGTTCTACGTCTACATCTGAAGGCCACTAAAAGAAGACTGACTGGCTCTCATGTGCTTAGGAGAAGGGTCTCATTGCCCATATCCACAGTGACACACTTCTAACAAGGCTACACTTCCTAATAATAGCAAGCCCTGGGCCAAGCATATTCAAACCACTACAATGGGGTACCAACCCTTAAATACATGAGCATTTCAGGGGGGACACTTCATATCAAACTGCAACCCCCAAACCTATTTGGTCCATGCCTGCGGCATCACAAAAGGCATTAAGCTGCTGTTCAGAGTGATGCAGTTTGGGGCAGAAGAAGCTTGACTGGCCACTATTTAGAGCACTGAATGCCCTCTCAGGACCTCTTCCTGTTTAGACAGTGACCTCAACTTCAGTATGGGATCATTTGGGAGCTCATGATTCCATGAGTCTCATGCCTTTAGGTAAATGCTGAAAGTATGTCCTTTAGTTCCACAGTGTAGTTCCTAGAAGATGTACATGTCAGAGTGCTCCCTTTAGCCCCAGACTCCTTCAACAAGCTCAGACTTCCGTTAAGTAGCCCATGCTAGGTGCTGTCCTAGTAGCTTGGCTTCAGTGATCTATATGGGGCCTCTCCTCTCTGAGCTACTGTTCAGTGACGGTGAATCCTTAGCCAGGGCTTCCTTCAGGTAGCAGTAAGGGGATTACCTCAGCTTTGATAGGTTACTGCTCTTCAGTTTTAGGGCCTTTGATGTGAGTGTTCAAATCTCCAGGGCACAATGCAGGATTTAGCAAGGAAAAAGCCCTGTTTCACAGGAGGGTGGGCCAGCTCTCTACCATTTAAACCCTGGTCTGCTCCCTCTCTAATAGACTTCTTTCTGATCCTGCCTCCTCTCATTTAGATCAACCCAGATCGTCAGGACCGCAGGTTGAACCACTTCAGAGTCTACCATGACATCACTCTGTACAAGGCTAAACTGTGGAGCTTGGGGGAAGACGATCACCAGAAGTAACGTTCTCTTGGTGGAGTGAACCTGCACACTGAATTCTCCATGTATGTGTTACCTGGAGAAATAAATGCTGCTTCTGTTAAAAAATCACAGAAGACTATTTCACAGATCCTACCATTTTGATTTAGGGTCAGGCAGTGTCTGAGTAGAAATAATTCAGGAGGCCTTGCAATATCACATAGGCGGAGGGAAGAGGAGACCCAGAGAGGAGCGAAGTGAAGAGATTACCTGACTGGTTATAACCTGTGTCCATCTTATCTGTAATGGTTTGAATAGCTGACCACTGGTGATGGGCTGAAGCTCAGATACTTGTTGTGAGAGAAAGTTTCAAGCAAAATAAAACAAATAGAACAAACAAACAAAATATTGGGTGGTGGCGGCAAACACCTTTAATCCCAGAACTCAGGAGGCAGAGGTAGACAAATCTCTGTAAGCTCTCTGTAGACCAGCCTGGCCTACAGAGTGAGTTCTAGGACAGCCAGGGCTACACAGAGAAACTCTGTCTCAAAAAACCAGAGAGAGATAGAGAGATAGAGAGATAGAGAGACAGAAACACAGAGACAGAGAGACAGAGAGACAGAGACAGAGTGTGTTGCATACCAAGTTAGGTTGAAGTTTATTACTGTGTTCCAATTTTGTTTCTGTTGTCATAATAAATACCTGACACAAATCGGCATAATCGAGGGCGAGTTTACTTGGACTACAGTCCCATCAGTTCAAGGAAGTCAAGGCAGGATCTCAAGCAGCAGTTATCATATCTGATCCTCCGTCAGGGGCAAAGAGAAACCTGCTAGAAGCAGCTTGCCTCGCTTCCAGCTACGTTACAGCTCTGCCTGGGCAGGGAAGCTTTCCTCAATGTTACAGCTCTCCTCTGCAGGGAAGGTTTCCTCAGTGCAAGTGTAACAGCTCTGCTGGGAGAGGTATCCTGGCATTCAGGATCCAAGATATACCACAAAGTTACACTGCAAACAAGCCTCACACAGTAGATTTACTGGGAGGGAAAACCCAAAATGGTAACTGCTGCTGCTCCAGAAAGAGACAGCAGCTAACTCAGCAGAAGGCAAGGTTTATATAGGGTTTCTTGGGGATGTGGTGGAGGTCCAGGGTGGCCTGTGATTGGAGGAATTCTGTGGCCTGATCTTGAAGCTCAAGGACATCACGATCAGGGTTCTTTTTCTTGGCCCTGGTATCAGGGTCAAGTCAGGGCCAGGGTATTTTTCCTTAGCCTTTTTACCTTACATATGTACCTCTGCTCCTGCTTGCTGCTCAGTTTGGCCATGAAATGGTGCTGCCCCCCCAATTCAGGATGGGTCACCCCACATTAACAATCAGTGGAATCCCCACAGACATGCCAACAGACCAACCTGATCCAAATAATCCATCATTAAGGCTCTCAGGAGATTCTGGATCGTGTCAGGTTGACAGGTGAACTAGCCAGCACACTACATATAGTGAACTGTCAACAACTGACAAGTGGAAATTTGCAAAGCAAATGAATCAATGAACTGAAGAGCTTGCCCACATAACGATAGAGAATTGGTGTCATCTGTATATCTGGCAGATGATCAATATCTAGAATATACCAGTAATCCAGAAAATTAAGCAAGATATCAAATAATCTAATCGACAAATAGTCAAAGAGAAATAGGCAGTTCTCAAAAAGACTGAACAAAATGGACCCAGCTATATCACTCCTGGGCATATACCCAAAAGATATTCCAACATATAACAAGGACACATGCTCCACCATGTTCATAGCAGCCTTATTTATAATAGCCAGAAGCTGGAAAGAACCCAGATGTCCTTCAACAGAAGAATGGATTCAGAAAATGTTGTACATTTACACAATGGAGTATTACTCAACTATCAAAAACAATGACTTCATGAAATTTTTAGGCAAATGGATGGAACTAGAAATATCATCCTGAGTGAGGTAACCGAGTAACAAAAGAACACACATGATATGCACTCATGGATAAGTGAATATTAACCCAAAAGCTCAGAATACTCAAGATACAATTCACAGACCACAGAAGCTCAAGAAGAAGGAAGACCAAAGTGTGGATGCTTCGGTCCTTCTTAGAAGGGGAAACAAAATACTCATGGGAGGAAAAACAGAGACAAAGTGTGGAGCAGAGACTGAAGGAAAGGCCATCCAGAGACTGCCCCACCTGGGGATCTATCACATATACAGTCACCAAACCCAGAAGCTATTGTGGATCCCAAGAAGTGCATGCTGAAAGGAGCCTGATATAGCTGTCTCCTGAGAGACTCTGCCAGAGCCTGACAAATACAGAGGAGTATGATCACATCTAACCATTGGACTGAGCACTGGGTCCCCAATGGAGGAGTTAGAGAAAGGACTGAAGGAGCTGAAGGGGTTTTCAACCCCATAGAAAGAACAACAATATCAACCAACCAGACACCCCAGAGCTACCAGGGACTAAACCACCAACCAATGAGTACACATGGAGGGACCCGTGGCTCCAGCAGCATATGTGGCAGAGGATGGCCTTGTTGGGGATCAATGGGAAGAGAGGCCCTTGGTCCTGTGAAGGCTTGATACTCCAGTGTAGGGGAATGGCAGGGCAAGGAGGTGGGAGTGGGTGGGTGGGTGGGGGAGCACCCTCATAGAAGCAAGGGTAGGGGGAATGGGGTAGGGGGTTTCCAGGGGGAAACTGGGAAAGGGGATAACATCTGAAATGTAAATAAAGAAAATATCCAATGAAGAAATAAAAAATCTAAAAGATGGCCAGTAATACATGAAGAATGTTCAGTGTCACTAGCCACTAGAGAAGAGCCAATCTGAACAACACAGGGATTCCATCTTACCCCAGTCGGAATGATCATATTCCAGAAACAAATGCTAATTCTGGTAAGGGTGTATACTAGCCTTGGATGCTGTGAAAATCAAGATGGCAATGACTAAAGAAACTGAGAACAGAGCTAGTGCACAAAGGATTCCAAGTCAGCATCTCAATGCTTATTGCAACACTTCTCATGATCAGCAAACTGTGGAACCAACCTCAGTGTCCACCATCAGAGCAATGGACGGGAGAAATGTGGTTCACATACACAAGAGTCATTTACAGTCATAAAAATGAATGTTCGTAGTTTCCAAGGAAATGAATAAAATCGGAAATAATCACATTAGTGAATTAAATCAGACTCAGAAAGACCAATATTGTATGTTTTTGTCTGTTCCCAGACTTTAAAGAGAGACATAAACAAGCATGTACAAGTGAATTTGTTCAGGGTAGCAAGAGCAAATCACCGATGGGAGGAGAGGTGAGAAAGGGCAGGTAGGGAATATGGAGGGGGATTTGCTCAAAGGACTGCATATACTTGAATGAAAATGTCCTTGTGTAACACAATACCACGTATGATGAGTATATAGAGTGAAACTTTCTTATTTTGAGATTGAGTCCTGTTGTGTATCTATGGCTAGCTTGAAACTTGATATATAGATCAGGCAGGCTTGAACTAAGAGATCTATCTGCCTCCATCTCCTGAAGACAAAGTGTAAGAAGAAGCGATACTGATGAACTAACAGGAACCAGAAGTTAACAAAAGAGGCTCCACCTGAAGACCTCTGCTGTACAATAAGAAAGCGAGGTGAGGAAGAAAAGGAGTTGACAAGATAGCTCACCTTCTGTGTATCACTCACTACACATAAGGGATGTTTATCCATGTGTGCTTCCTGCATTGGTTTAGGACTGGGTCTGCAGGATATCCCAGAATACTTGGTATCTCTCTATAGGACTTGGCCTTTCATATTCAGCTGTCAGAGGCAGGCAAATTAGGAGTTCAAATTCAAAACAACAGAAACAGACAATAGCAAACAAAAACAAAACAAAAAAACAAAACCCAATGCACTTTGCCCTATTAACATCAAACCTGGCTAAGGATGTTACTCATCAGTAAAGGGAAATAAGAGACCAAAGTAAACAAATGCAGAGCAGAAGAAGCAAGAAGTGAATGAAAGACTGTTATGATTATAAGTTTATTATTTATTTTATGACATGTTAAAAAGTTCCTAGTCCATCCGGGTTAAGGGTATACTGACCTACTGAATGTATCTTAAAGATAATGTAGAAACTAAGTATCGTGATTACTATCTCAGCAAGTGTATCTCTGTCTCATGAAGCACCAAGTTTACATCACAAATGGGTTGACCTGCATCAGAGTCTTAGATTCATGTCCATGTCTGAGGCCTTTCCAAAACCTCTGCAGGACCTGCAGAGCTGGATCACATCACGCCTTCCGGTTCACCCTGCGTTGGACCCTGCTTGGGATGCTCTGTGAGATGTGCAGGACTTCATTAAGGCTGTGGGAGAAAAGGGAGTGTGTGGGAGAGGGCTCCAGATGAAAACAGAATTAACAAAAGTAAAGGGATAAAAGGGTTAATTGTTACATTATTATAAAGCATTACCTTAGAGCTGCTTTTGTGTTTGTTTTGTCTTTGGGAAACAAAATGCATTTATAAATATTTAGAATGTCTTAATATATTAATAATTGCTTGTAAAATTGATACTTTGAAAATGTACCAAATTTATGATCTGAAATTGCTGTAGGCTTATAACTAGTCACGAAATGAAGTGATGTGTGCTCTGCCATCTAAAGCTTTATTTTTTAAACACTATTTTCATCCTTCACCTGAAATGCTGTACCTTTGGACACTATTCTTTATAGGAAAGGTGTTAGGTTTTTCAGGATCTGAATACCTCAACGGAATTAAAACGGGTGTTATAATACAGCTCAACTAACTGCAAAGGTTCATTGCTTCAAGTAAAGGGGAAGAGTTTAGAAGGAACCCCCAAGTACAAACTAAGTAAAAAAGTCTCCAGACACTGAATACCAACATTGTAACATACAGTTTTATTTTCAAATTCCAAATACTCCTTCAAATATGTGAGTGAACCACAAGTTGTTGCCTGTGGCAACAGCAATAACTTTTATTTTTATGTTTTATTTTCTAAGACTAAAATACAGAGCTAACAAGAGAAGATATCTCACCTAGCAGTAAATCACTATAAAAACACTGAGTGCCAACAGCCACCAGGAAACTACACACAGGAAGCAGAATGAGTTACTGCCACCCTCAGGAGACTTCCCGAGCAGAAAGGATTGGTGAAGCCCAGGGCAACTGCACCCAGTGTGAACTGTGTGTAGGAACTGGAAAGCAACTGTACCCAGT